AACTACTGTGTATGAAAAGAAGAAATAGGTTTGTGGTTAAAAGGAAAGTGGGAGTTTGGTACTAAGTATCAGAAAGGCTTTAGTGGATTTGTATTTGTATTAAAAGATTAGTGAGTTCATGTCCTTATATAACCAAAGTTACCAGATATGAACAGATCAAGTCCAAAACATTTTCAGAACTTGCCAAATTTGGGTGACATAGCCTAATCTTGCCATACCCAGACCAGCCTGACTCAGAGGTAACATCGAGAGAGGTCTCATAAAAATCAGGGTGCATTGTGCCAAACTGCACAAATCGATGACAAAGAATAGGGACAAGAGCAGGGTCCTCTCGCCCAAAGACCTCCTGCGGGAGCAGCGACTGACAAACAACAAAGAACCAGCGGGGCTCTGGCTAATCACCCGGAGAGACCGTCTGCAGGAGCCGGCCAACTCCAACAGACTTCTGTGAACCAGACCGGAGGAGAGTTCCAGCAATGCCTGATCCGAAGAGAGGGAGATGGCTCCCTGAGAATTGACCTGGTGAAGGATATTGACGCGACTAAGAGCCCTCATAGGCACTTGAGAGGCAGCAGACATGTCCGCCTCTAGTCCCAAAGATGTGCTGGTAATACCTCGGTATAACCAGTGGGCAAGCCTAGCAAGAAGTGAAGAATTCCTGAAACAGCATCCTAAGACAAAGATATAATTGGGAACAACCAGGAAGAGGCAGCATGGTGTAGCTGTCAAGTGGTCACAAGACACAAGACTGTGATGCCTCCAGGTCAGGAGCTCGAGTCGACCTGGCCTGCTCGGAATGGTGGCTAAAGATCTTTCTGTTAGACTGGGGCTCATCCTCATCAGTTGAAAGAACAAATACAATAGGAACGTCAAGGTTGAACTGTTTGCCTTGGTCATCAGAGGTGGTTAACAAGTCCAGAGAAAGAGATCCAGCAACTATAACAACAGTTTTTAGAAGGATGCTGTTGTTACTCACTGTGCCTATTAGTATTCTTACAAATAGACCAATGAAAGTTCTGGTGAAAGGGGAGTAGGGCAGACTTTGGAAAGAAGACAGCATCTGAAGTTTTTTTTATAGAATTTGAATCCTGTTTAGGAAGAAGTCAGTAAGGACACACTTATCTTTACCAGTTTAATGTGAGGGCTAAATAGGACTCCTGTACCGGAGAGCCTGGGTAACAAGAGAATGTTGATTAAAAAGAGATAGGTTTAGCAGCAGAGGGGAATGGCAAAAGGGAGAAATAAATGATGGAACAGAGGGATACTAAATATGGAAAGTGAGAGTAAGATAATGAGGCTGGATGGAGGGATGCTAAATGAGGGAAAATGAGTGAATATGATAAGCATGGAAAACTAGTGCTAATTAAGAAAAACATCAGAGAATAAGAGTACAAAGTTTGGTAAATGGGGAATAATATTTCTGTAGATCTTAATTAAGGATACTGATTGAGGAGGAGAGGGGGATGTGTAGCCCTGCAAACAGAGATACAGTTAAATAATGAAAGCAGGATGGAAGGAGGAATGTAACATTGAAACAGGCAGACAGCTGGAAGCTGGATTCATGAGAAATATAACAGCATGAAAAATACCCAATTTTGAATGATTTTGATTACCATATGCAATGATTTAAAATTCCTGCTTACATAAATACAAAATTTGTGGCAAAAACATATAAATCTAACATTAAAAAGTGAATTTTAAATATGGCATGACGTGCTGTGAGCCAACACCAAATCTTCCTGCCAGAGGAATAAAAGATAAAGCAATAGAGGGATCATTGGTCTGCACACATCAATTTATTTGCTGTTTGGGGATGTTAATTAGGGAGAAGTGGTGCGAGGCGTTTTTATGGGTGAGTGCTTATAGAAATAGTGTGGTGAGGTAATTAGCTGGTTAAATGGTGGGTTGTTGTCTTGTGGGGATGTGGGTTTATTGTGTGCTGCTTCTGCTCGGGGAGTTGTGATTGTTCCATTTCCTGCCTCTTTTGTTTCTCTACTGAGGGCTTTATGTCACGACCAACAATAAATGTAAATACATTACATAGACATTTCACCACTTTTGCCCAAATTAAAACTTGTGGGTGATTGGACTTCAGTCGGATGACAGTACAGGTTGAAATCCACCCAAGACCCAGTCAGCGATGAGGACGGACAGGGGCGGTTGTGTTGTCATTTCACATACAACAAATATGTGAAAGTAAATATGTTATTGGTCTCAACTATTCCAAACTATAAACTGTATATAAACACGGAAAAGTTGACTGCTCCTCAAAAGTGAAGCCAAAACATTCCAATCAGCACCTGGTGGCTGGCTGCAACATATTTCATAAATTCTGCCTCCTCCATGTCAGTAGATGAGACATGGACCAGCTAAAAAGTACTGGTTAAGTAATTTTTTCTCAAAGATGACCTCTCTGATTTTAACCCACGTGTTTGTATCATGTTTTTGATAAGTTTGGTTTTAATTAGTTATTTGATTACATCACAATTGACAGCTGCAACTGGCTCATGATTGGTCTGAATTAGATGGCTCCAAATTCACAAGATGGTAGTGTTCATATCTGGGCTATTTCAGCTTCATTTCTGCATAGTGTCAGGAAGTAGAGGCTTATTGTCAAACTAATCTCTGTTCCAAACCAGTGAGGTAGCAGCAGCCAGTTAGGAAGGAGCCATTAGCCAGTAAAAACATGAAGCTAGTACTCAGTACTTTGGACGTCATTCAGGACACTTGTGGATGGAGTGAGGAAGAGACTAAGTGTCTGCTTTCAAATAAATCCTACGACTGCTCCTCAACTTTGATCACAGGGCTTTTGTTGGACTCAACCACACAACACAAGGATGAGAACCGTGACCTTCCGTATCAAAGCCTTTTTCAAGCTCAACATCCACTACAAGAAGTCCAGCAAAAACAAAGCTTTCCCCAAACATATTATAAAAACAAAAAGGTAATATGTTGGCATCATTATAGGACACAAAGCTGACATAGTGTTTACTTTCCAAGTGTATTTAAATGTATTTTATGCCTTTAATGGATGGGACAGAGTAAGCTTGCAAAAGGGGGATAGAGAGAGAGTGGGGAGGACATGCATACATGGCCGTCGACTCTAACCCAGGCCTCTGTGTGTTGAGACCTTGCCTCGTTGGGGCAGCAGCTCGACCGGGTGAGCAATACGCTGCCCCAAGACACATTTTGCATGGTGAGTGTTTCCCCCCCTGCACAATCTTACTCTGAAAATGAGATTCTTTAGAAAATCGTATGTAGACCAGTGACGTGGCGCTTCTCTCTCTCTCTTATTCGCTCTGTCTGTACATTATTAGGTTTTGGTGGACCTCAGTAGCTAACAGTGTAGATCGATGTAGCTTCTGAGAGTCTAGCTGGGCTTTAATGTGATATTCTGAGTGGACAGCTTTTCTTCAAATGCATCTCTTAATCACATCACAGATAAATCTCCAATCTTGTTGTCTTCCCTCTCACTATGTGTTTGTGTGTGTGTGGGTGTGAATGTGTGTTCAAGAAAAACCCAAGTGCATGTGGGATATTAGGAGTTTCCTTGCATGCAGACAGTTGGACATGTGGCTCACATTCAGAAAGACATGCAGCCTCTAGTTGGTTATAGAGAGGACACCACGCTGTTAATCGTTCTACAATAAAAAAGCTTAAATCATCACCATGGTGAGATGCCAAATTTTCTCAAAAAATCAACTGGCACGGAGTTGCGTGTTACTTAGCAACAGAGAGCAGGTTTATCGACTCTGATCCAACTGAGGGTGATTAGGACGCAGGAGGAGATTAGGAACATGAAACAGACAAAGAAACAGGTTGTCAATATTGAAAAAAAATATGAAATTTGGAGTGATAAAATATTGTACACATGGAATACAGAAGTAGCAATTTAAAGAACAGGATAAATAAATCAAACTGTTTGTGTAAATACTGGAGACCAGGGTACTGCACTGGGTGGGAAATACATTGAAGCTTGGGACCAATAGTGTGTTGGAGAAAATACAATACATATCAATCCAATTACACTTCAGTGGTTTATCAATATGTCCTCTACCTAACTGTATACTTTGGAATAAGGACAGTCACGTTAGTTCAGCTCTGCTATAAGAAAAGCTATCAAAGGTTTATATGGAAAACGTAGTATCCATTAATGTTTAGTGCAAACTAGAATTAATAATATTATTTTAACAAGGTTCTTAATATTTGCTTTAGTCGAATCACTAATTGTGTTGTATTTTTATTTATTTGTTCAAATCAGATTCAATTTACTAACCAATCACCATATGTATTAATTGAATGGCTTGAAATCAAAACAATGTAAGATAAAACTTGAATAACTTAATTCTGATATTATGCCACAACATCAGGCATTTTTCAGATATATGACATGTCCACTCTTTGAATTTTACGTTTATGACCTCGTTTATTTAAAATGTTGCAGTATTTCTGATCCATAATGGGCAAAAATAAAAATTAAAACATTTTCTTCTTTCTTTGTGTCTCCTTGTTCAACAGTCGTCCAGCATATTAAGAGACACAACATTGTACTGAAGAGAGAACTGGGAGAGGGAGCCTTTGGAAAAGTCTTCCTGGCTGAGTGTTTCAACCTCTCACCTGACCAGGAGAAGATACTGGTGGCTGTCAAGGTAATCTGGAGGTCTAATTGTTTTAAAGAATACATATGATGATTTTTCTGTTTCTCTTTCCTCTAGTGTCTTATATAGATTTTTGTGTATATAACCGTTCTGCTCCTGAAACTGCTGGCTGATACTTTGACATCCTCATGAAGTCACAAACACCCCAATACCCAAAATTTTGTATAATACCTAGTGGTTAAGTATAGTACTGTGGCTAAGAGAGCTCAAAAACACGTACAAATTAAGAAAACAACTTCATCAATTTGAAGAAACGTGCAGCAAAATGTCACAATGCATGCAATTACAGAAACAAGCTGCAAATTGCGAAAATGACAGAAAAGTTTCCAGGGGACCAAAAAAGTGATGAGAGTTAATGAAATCTGCTTCTCATCAGAAATAAAATATTGTCCAGTCTATTTTAAAGACGAGAATCACTTCTCCTGCAGAATGATCTGTGGCTCCAACATAAATCACATTACGATATAATTGAAAGTATTTACAGTATTTTTGCAATTAGATCCGATACCTAAAATAAATTTAAAATATGAAATGAGCGGATGACCTTGCTGCACGAAGCATGGCCTTTTTAAATGAAATCCTTCCTATGGCTTCTGCATCGCCATCATCTCGCCTCCATTTCCTCCGCTATTGTTAGAAAGTCGCTCCTTTCGAGAGTTTCTGAGTAAGCGAAAGGTGGAATTACACTCAATCCACCCACTTCCGGGGCTCAAATCGAACGGTTTCCCAGGGAGCATCCTCCCATCACATATATCCTTCCATCCATCTCTCCATCAAGTATGCTTTCTCTGCTGGTCTGCGGTGAAACAGGATCTGATTGGTGAAGAACTTCTCATTAACAATACATGACCTGTGAGGGACCCCCCCCCCTTCCTTCCTTCTCCCTCTGGCTTCTTTTACCCCCCATCCCCCCACTTCCTCTGTCCTTCACTCCTCACCTCAAACTCTCTGTCTCTCACCTGTTTTTTTTCCTTCCTCTCTCTTCATCCTGGCACTTTCCTCCTCTCAAATCCTCAACTTTCTTCTCTCTTCCAACACTTCCTGTTTCCTTTCCAGCTTAACTCTAAACCACTCGCCGGCTGTGTGATATTTGATGCCAGCTTAGCTTCAGATCAGTCTGGGCACTTTGTAAAATATGTACCTGAAAATCCTCAGAAGCGGAGTTCTTGGTTGTAGAACAAGAGTCTGGATATTGAAGTCAGGTAAAATGTTCTATAATCAGTACATAACTTACACTGAGACTAGCACAGGTACAGCCGTTTATAGACACGATGTACAGTAGATGAATCATTGAATCATTAGTGTCACGTCATTGATTTAAGTCTCTCAATTCATCATTTTTCTTCAATCAGCTAATGTACCACCTGCTCTCTGAGTGTACGACTCATTCTTTCTGCTCTTTTCATCCTCGTCTCATTGTCGTTTGGGATGACTCACCATTTCTTTTCTGCCGTTTTCCTTTTCCTCCCCCTTGTTGCTCCATCCAAGAAGCCAAATTGTGATGAAAGCTGCTGGAAACATTTCATTTCCAGCAGATTTTCAAGGATTTTCAGGAATGGTTCACACAACTACAAAACTAAACTAAAAAGGGACTTTCTGGGGGTTTGAAAGTAGTTCAGTGTCTTGATAATCCAAAAATACTGAGACACTGCTTCTGGAACTAAAAACTACAACCAAACATTATATCGTGGTCATGGACAGATTATGAGAAAATAGGACCCTGGGAGGTAAAATGCAACCCAGACTGAAAGTGGCACAAATGTTGCAAATCATTTAACAACTTTTTGAGGTAAATTTTTGTCCCTGTATGTTTTGATTTATTCACTGTAGTTATTTTGCATATTTTTACAGACATGTTTCTTTTCTGTCTATTTGCATTTTCTTCAGTCTTTTTATGTTCTCTTGTCTTTTTCTTTTTTTTGGTCCTTTCACTTTTCTTTTTGAATCTCTTTGTGGTCATCTTACTGAGCTATAAGAATTTCAAACAAGAAATATTATTAGTCACTTCATGCAGTGGCTCCGGCACAGAAGCTGCCTGCCCTCTGGGGCCCGTGCGCCTGTGCCCCAGCAGGCCATTATCATATGGTGTCTGAGGTCATGAATAACAGAGAAATCAACAAGTTAGCTAAACATGAGTCCTACATAATATCAAAACAGCATTCTGGTATACTGAGAAAGCTTTTTTCTTAAAAATGTGAGCAATGAAACTAAGTCTTTGTTACGACTGCCTCAGCAACGAAAATGCAGTTTAAATGTTGTGGTATACCAGATTTACAAAAGAGAAACTGCATTTCACTTTCTAAAGGTCAAAATTGTGCAACATTTAGATGGACACTATATTAATAATGAAGTAGGTATAAGATTTGACAATTAACTTCAACTTCATCGCTACACTAATCGTCTTCATTGTTCAATCAGAGACATATTGAAGAAACTGCAGTCATTTGAATCTTGAGGTGTATTAGTCCATCCTCCCTCCTGTACAATGTTTCTCGTGTACATACTTGACACTTATGTTACACTCTGTCATGCGCGCTACATTATCGAAACATGTTCGCTCTTCTGCACCACATTACAATAACCTGCACTCGCTAATTGAGCTTAATGGTCCTGGTTTTAGAGTCCGCTATCAATCAACCAGTCATCCATAATACAGAGGTAAGTTTTACTATAATACCCTGAGCTGCCATCGATCACAGGCAACACCACAACACGTGCAGATGAACGTAGAAATATGCATACGCACACACATATACGTCTATACACACTCGCATGCAGTCAATCATCAACACTTTCCATTTTCTATAGTTGCCTTTCGCACATGTAAATGTAAGCTAAAGCTAGAGGCTGTTGATTGCTTGTTATTTGTCCAGGGACCTGAATGTGCACAGACCGGATAACTAACAGTGCAAAAAATATGACTTTTGGCCCGAGACTTAATGCAACACTGAGTTCAGACATTGAGAGCATGAGAGTCGATACGTTGAGGTTTCTGACTCACAGCAAAGTCTCTGTTGTAGAGTTCTGAATTCAACATTAATATGTTTTGCTTAGCACAGTGAGGAATGTTGTTTCAGTTTGCTGATTGAGCTCAGTGGTGCAGTGCATGTCTTTGGCAAGAAAGATTTTTTTTTGCCTTTTAACATCAAAATTTGAATACAGACTTAGTTTTCCAATTCAGAGGCAAACTAGGTAAACTTCAACCAGACCGCTATCAGTATTTATGTTCTACAGTGTCCCTGGAGCCTTTTTTCTCCAAACTGTAGGTTTGCTGGCTTCTTGGAAAAATAGAGGCCAACAAGTATTTATTAAAATGTATTAATTCATGAATATTGATATTACCAACATCAATAATTGCTTTGTGATGAAATACAAGTGATATCCACCATGTGTTGCTTTTAATGGTGATGAGTTAATTATTTACTAACCATTAATTAATGAAGCTATTAATCACAATTCCCTTCATGAAGGTGGTATAAATGCTTTTTGTCATCATTATCATTACTTATCCTCCTGCTCAGTTTGGTGTTTAGTGGAACTGGAAGGTTTTATATTAGAAGGTATGTTCACTTTCAGCAGAAAGTCAACCACGATTTCCCATACATGTCCGATATCACATTTCCAACTGAGATTGAGCGTTGTCCATACAGTATCTATACTGTAATAATCCACTGTCATTATGGTGCTGTATCCTCTTACAGCCTGTAATGTACGTGATCGAGCCTCTGTTTTGTGATTGGCTGAGAATATGCGGAGTGGATTCACAGTCTGTCTCATTTTCTGGCATCTCAGCGTTCTAGATGAAAGGTCACGGGTCACTTCCTTCTTCGTGAGCTCTCTGGGTGACTTCTCCTTGTCCTTTAGACCTGTATTTGTAACAGGAGCTTCTATCTGCACTGTTAGTTCACAGACACACTCACATGGACATGCACAAGGTAGAGAGTGAACATATATCTATGTCATACGCTGTAGGAAGACAATCAATTATTCATGTATAGGACAAGAGGACTTTTCTATATTTCTCTTCTTTAGATGTAAAATGAATACAGACCCTGTATCACTTTCATTTCCTGCAAATGCCTCTCTTTTTTTCACACACACTCTTTTTACGCCTTTGTCACAGATGCTTGTTACACAACCTGCCCAACAGATTTCCTGATTCATGGAAAGGAGATTAGTTTCAGAGGGAACCAGGGAATATAATGAAGTGTTGTACAACAGTGTTGTACTTTGTAATGGCTTACATTAATATAAAATGTCTCCATTTTTCCTGCTCTGTCATTGAATCAATCCTTGCACAGTGCCAGTAATTTCACAATGTGTGTGCTGAGTTGCTGTAACTCACTTTTACAAGGCAAGACATTTTCTTCATGGTGGACATCGGCCAAATAAACTGGAGCAGACTGTGTCCACCGTGAAAATGACTAATTGGCAATAGCGTACGTGGAATAATGTGAGAGTGTTTCATTTGTTGGTTTATTAAAATGTCCCTTTGTGTGTATGTGTGTGTGCAGACACTAAAAGAGGCCAGTGAAAATGCCAGGAAAGATTTCCACCGTGAAGCTGAGCTCCTGACAAACCTTCAACACGAACACATCGTCACTTTTTACGGCGTCTGCGTGGAGAGCGACCCTCTCATCATGGTGTTCGAGTACATGAAACACGGAGACCTCAACAAGTTCCTCAGGCATGGCTTTTTCCTCCATTACATAAAAATGACGAGCAAATGGCAACAAACTTGTAGTCAAATTAAACATTTTAACAAAGTCAATTTTACAGTAGAAATCTTTTACAATTGTAAAAACATTACTTTCTCACTAACTCGGCTCACAGGGCTCACGGTCCGGACGCAGTTCTGATGGCGGAGGGTCAGACCACCAGACCTGTGGAGCTGACCCAGTCTCAGATGCTGCACATCGCCCAGCAGATAGCATCCGGCATGGTCTACCTGGCTTCTCAGCACTTTGTGCATCGCGACTTGGCCACCAGGTTTGTCCTGTACTCTGTGTTTAATTGAATGGTCCTTAAGAACACATCATCACACATGGACAGCTTTTCAGACCCTTGAATATTTTACTGAATACCAGACGATACCAATTAAAAACATACTTTAACATTATGAAAAAAGGAACAGATAACTACGGGTTTTTACACTGGCAGCTTCACTTCATCAACAACAAATTCAGTCACTTATAAGGACAAAAATTGTAAATTCATTAACAAATTTAGTTGCCAGCATAATGATATTTGTAAACATCTATCAATATAAAGAGAACAAAAATGGAAGCTTTCAGTACTCCTGTAAAACATTTGTTTTTCCATCATTTTAGAATATTTACACTATATCATGGTTGTTTTTATTCTGTTGTTGCAAGTCAATTGCAAATGTGGATATTTGCTGTTTTACAAAATATATTCTCATGTTTTCTCTACTCTATGTGAGAGACATGCTGCTACAGACAAACAGCAAAACAAAAGTGCAGTTTCTTCACTCAACTCTACAGCATCAAGTTTGCACATTAGCAACAGGATAGTGGATTTTAGGCAAACATCTAAACTTTTACAGGGTGTGATAACAACGCCAGAAGTAAGTCAAACTATGTAAAACATCTCAAACTATGTTAAATGTCTTTTATATAAACTCAACATGTTCCTCACAGCTGTATTTGTGTGTGTCTGACAGGAACTGTCTGGTGGGCGAGAACCTGCTGGTAAAGATTGGGGACTTTGGCATGTCTAGAGACGTCTACAGCACTGACTACTACAGGGTAGGTGTATGTGTCGACATATTTTCTTCTTTCAGCCTCCCTCCTCCCTGCTGCATGGGTCCCTACCTGCTCTTCTCCCCCTCTCCCCCTTTCCCCCTCTCCCCCGCATGGGCATGAGTGATGGACCCTGGCCGAGTTGCAGTAAGCTGCTTGCCATGGTGGGACATTGAACCCAGTGCAGTGCAGCAGAATGAAACATACATGTAGCAGTGATGCCACACTGTATGTTGGTTTTACTGAGAGACAGAATCAGCTGTTTTGGTGACTGTTTATTGCAGCAGCTTGTTCTGCCACCAAGGACCAATACACATCCAGTTGTATCTTATTTATTTACAGTGTAATTTATTCACAGAAGGGTTTTTTTCAGGAGGTGTTAATTTTGAATTTAGGAGTCTGCTTTTCACCAGAGACCAGGCTAATGAGACAGCTGCATGACAAGGCTCAGCACATTTTAATATGCTTCTCTAATGAAAACTTTTTATCAA